CTCACGGCAGCAGAGAGGGCAGTGGTGGAAGAAACCCATGAGGTCACTGGCTGCCTCTCTCTCCCCGGGGGGACCTGCACACAGCTTCCACCCTGAACCATTCCGGATGGGGTGGGCACCCATCCCCAGGGATGGTGGGTCTCTTCCTACATGGCTGAGTGTGTTTGTGTACAGGTAGAGGTGCGTGGTGTATCTCCAGCCTGGCTCCTAAGCACGGTGCAGACCGTGAGAGCCCTGCAGACCCTGTTGGGGACTGGATTCCTGCGCGTGGCACAGGATGAAGGTTGAAACAAAGCTTGTCTTTTCAATGTGCTGCAATACCGTTGAGATAAACCAGGTGCTATACTTCTGGAAGACACTGCAGGGAGCTGGGGGGGACCAGACCTGGGATACTCCAGCTCCTGCTGCTCTCCCCCATGTCGGGTCATTGCCTGGGGGCAGCTCTGCTGGGTGCTCAGCCTTGTGGTGAAGCAGCCTTCACCTCATCTCTTGTTTTCTTGAGTCTCTTTCCATGTTTTTTGTACAAAAAAGGTCATTCCTCAGTTGCAAAAGACATCTTGGAGCTTATAGCCAAAACAGCCAGGACCTCCCATCGTAGTTGGTGGAGATGCTGCCCTCACTGTTTAGCCATGCTGGTGAGCTGCAAGGGGCTGAGCTGCATTTTGGTGCTGCTGTTGATGCTATGAGTACAAGGTTTGTGTATGTGGTGGAGGAAACAGGTGACTTTCTCCTCTGAATTATTTGGGTGTTTGTTAGTCTCTTTCAGGAGGAAAGGAGATACTGTTATTCAACCTCTGACTCCCTCCAGATGCTTGGCTAGCGCTGGGGAGTCGATGGGCAGCAGGAGACAGGGGCACATGAGGTAGACTTTCTTTGCCTGGAGGGACAGAGGGGAAGGGTGCACTGGTGGGAATGAGGAGGTGCTGGTTTCGGGGGGGTGCGAGGGCTGCTGTAACCATGGCACAGCCTGAGCTGTGCCTCCAGGGTCCTCCCCCTCCGCCTTCGCTGAGCTACGATTTCATTTTTCACTTTTCTTCCATCCCCTCTTAACTGGAAGAAGTCCTAAATAAAGTTGCTGTCACTTTTATTTATGGGCGCAGGGGAAGAGACGGACAAAAAGCCTGTGTGCTCCTGACAGCTACAAAGCAGCCGGCTGTTTTTCTTCGCTCGTGTTGGCAAAGCGATCGATCCGGCCACAGGCGAGCATCCTCCTCGAGCGCCTGGGGCTCCCCGTGTCCCCCCGTGCCCGGGGGTCTTGGGGAAGGTGGGTGGAGGGGGCTCTGCATCTTGGCTCCTGGCCCTGGGGCTGTCGCAGGGCCAGGCTTCTCCGGGAACACCTGTCCTAAAATCCTAGACCCCCGAAAATGCAGATGTGTGAACTCGCCTGCCTTAAAAATCCATCACAGGCTTCTTGTCTCCATCTTGATTGGTTCCAGTGAGGTCAACTTTTTTTAATAACTTCTGGACTTCGGCAGGGAAAACTATTTCCTTCAGGAAATAATATAATTAAGGTTGCCTGACACTTCTGATTATAAGCCCCTGTCTTCAGTTGCTTGAAACTACGCCAGCCTTTAACCATTTGGACTGAAACTTCACATGTCTCTGCCTCCGGCTGAATTTTTTTGGAAAATTCTAGCAAAGAGGGTTTTAAGCTGCTCTCAGAATGCAGCTTGGGGGAGAAAAAGGCACTAGTTTATCCACAGTTTAAAAAAAAACAAAACAAAAAAACCCCCAACCACCGACAACAAAAACAACAACAAAAAAAAAAACCAACGAAGAAAAATTCTTGCAGTTGTTGTGCCGAAAAAACCTCCAGTACCTTTGCGCCCGTGAGACCGGGTCTGATAGTTCTGGGGAAGGTTTTCAGCCAGGTGTCAGGGATCTGCTTGCTGCTGACGCCACGAAAATCCACCTTTCCCCCGTGCCAAGTTGCGAGCCTCCGAAAGGCGCTGCTGTGTGGGTGTATTATATATAGCCCTGTGTGCCGGGGAGGCAGCGGCCGCGCTGCTCCCACAGCAGGAACTACGCTGCTTGGAGCACATGTGAGGGGAACCGTGGGACCCTTCTGGTGGTACAAGTAAAACTCGTTGACCCCCTGGTCGACGTAGCCCCGGCTTGTGCTGGGGAGAAAGGTTTTTGGCTAAGGCTGTGTGTTTGACTTGTTTTTTTTTTTTTCTTTTTTTTTTTTTCTCCTTTTTGCAAGAAGTGGTTCAACTTACAAGGAGAGGCTGAAGGACTTGGGGCTTTTTAGTCTGGAGAAGAGAAGGCTAAGGGGGGATCTGATCAATGCTTATAAATACTTAAAGGGAGGGAGTCAAGAGGACGGGGCTGGTCTTTTTTCAGTGGTGCCCAGGGATAGGACAAGAGGAAATGGGTACAAACTTGACTATAAGAAGTTCCACCTAAACATGAGGAGGCACTTCTTTACTTTGAGGGTGGCAGAGCCCTGGAACAGGCTGCCCAGAGAGGGGGTGGAGTCTCCTTCTCTGGGGACATTCAAAAACGACCTGAACAAGATCCTGTGCAACCTGCTCTGGGTAGACCCACTCCGGTGGGGGGGTTGGACTTGATGATCTCCAGAGCTCCCTTCCAACCCCATGTGATTCTGTGATTCTGTGAACTACCCCTTGCTGTAGGGTTCAGATGCACCACATGGGACATGCACGTGCAGTAGGCACTGGGTTTCCTTCAGGATTTTGCAGGGACCTGTTTAAACAATTAGTGCCGTTGCACTGCAATGATTGCAGTTCCCTCCTACCTCAGCTTGTTGCTCCAGAGATGGTCAAAACAAGAGCATTTCTGCGGGGCATTCCACCCAGGCCATCTAAAGCAGGCGTCACGGTGATTAAATTTCCTGAGTGTAGCGTTGCTGGGACCTCAAGTCCTGAGTGATGTGGGGTGAGCTCAGGACGGGTCCCAGCCCTTCTGCAGAGACCTGCCCCGGACTCCTCCCTGTGACCAGTGATATTTACTCTATACATGAACCTGCCTGAGCTGTGGCCAAGGCTGTCCCCTCTTTTTGGGACAGGCTAGTTCACAGACCTTGCCACTGGCTCAGCGGTAGCTCATTGCCTGAGCCAGGTCCTTCAGCTGGCGACCTACTTTGGGTGTGCTGATCTTCTCCAAAACCCGGTTTGACCTCAATTTGAAGTTCTTAAAAAGCAAATCCGCGCTTTGATTTCCATGGGGAAAGCTGTGCTGCTGGACCTGTGGTAGGGATGGCTTGTCCCATCAGGAGAGGGCCCAGAGGTAGCAAGGGGTGTCACGTCTTTCCATGTGAGGGGGTTCCAGGGACACCTCTCAGCCAAGGCATGGGGACTTTGTACCCAGCATAATGCACTGTCCCTGCTTGAGCCGTGTCCTTAACGGCTGGAGCAGAGGATGCTGCAAAAACCTCCCCAAGGGCGCTTGGTATTAAACCCATCTCTCTTGTCCTATCCCTGCCAAGCTGGAGTGACAGCCCAGGCGGGCCCCTGCCAGGTAGTGATGGACAAACCTTGACGCTTGCCGTAGCCTGGTCTCCTCTGTTCGGCTTCATCTGTGGGTGAAAATAAATAAATAAAATAAATAAATAAATAAAACTTACTAGCTGCGTTGGCATTGCAGAGCGAGGGGAGGCTTGGTGGGGAGGAGCCCTCTCCCCTCCTTGCCAGTCACTTGTCAGCTGGGGGGTGCCTGGCAGAGCGGGTTTTTGAGTGATGGGGTGTTGCGGGTGTTGGGCTCGGGGCAGCTGGAGTTAAATTTCTCGGTGGCTGACACCTGACAAGCGTGATAAATTGCGGCACACCATGCGCTGCCGGCATGACAAACGGTCTGCTTCCCTCCTTTTAAGCTCTGGGAAAACTTTTTAATTATTTCCCAGCGCTTTGCAAATGAGGGTTTCTCCGTCAAGCACCCAGTGGAGTGTTTTTTTGGGGCGGGTGGTGGTGGTTGTTATTTATTTATTTAGGTTTCGTAGGTGGGTGGGGGTTGTAGTTTGGGTTTCTGTAGCACCCTCCTGCTGACTCGCCCAGGCTTTGGATGGGGTCCTGGGGTGGCCTCTGGCGACGCTCGTCAATTCGAGGTCGGGTGCTAATTAAAGCCCGTGGTGTTCCAGGCTTGGAGTCGCTGTCGCCCTTGGGAAAGCGTCTCTGCAGGATTGACTCCCAGACTTCCCTCTTGTCAGTGGAGTTTGGCTCCTATTTTTCATTTTTAATAATGCAGAACCATGAGACTTTTTTTTTTTCCTTTTTCTTTTTTTTTTTTTTTTCCCCTCCTCAAAGCATTTAAAAAGGAGGGGGGAGCCACACAAGCTCAGCCACAAGAGCTAGATAATGAGCGCGGATCCCGACTGATAATTTGTTTGTCTAACACAAAAAGCATATTTGCTGCTGTAACTGAAGGCACTGCTGGTTACAGTAATGCTTCAGCCTCCGTCTCACTAGGCAGCATGTCAGACGTAGCACAGAAAGTCTCTCTCCCCCCCCCTTTCCAGCCCTCGGTGTCCGTGCTGCAAAGCCGTACGTGCGTGCTTTCCTCTTCACACTCCCGGGTTCAGTCGGATTGGCCTCTCCCTGCACGGTTTAACACGTGCGTGAGGCTTTGCAGGATTAGGGCTTAGGCAGCACAAGACCTCGTGGGCAAATGCCTTGGTGCTGGGCTGACGTTTTAGTGCTGCTATGCTGTTTTGGCTGGGGAGCGATGCTGTCTGTCTTTAAAGAAGATCAGAGATGCCCCAAGCTGCTGTATTTTTTGGGTTTTTTGTTTTTTTTTTTTTTTCCCTCTCCCCTTTCATGTCTCTAAATCGAAGTAATTAAGCAAATGCGTGCTTTGGGGCTGGACTGTGATGCTCATGTGGGAGGGCTCTTCATCTAAACTAGCTTCATGTTTACACCAGTTACCCCCAGCTGTCAAGGCTGGAAAACAGATGCCCCCCCCCCCTTCGCTTGTTTCCTAAACCCGAAGCGACGGCAGAGCTCCACCTGGTAGCCTGACAGGTTGTCTCTTCTGTTTCGTTGAAGAAAATCCCAGGTCTGAGCGGCGAGGGTCGATCAAGCAGCCAGAAGAATCCCCCGGACGTTGATGAGAAATTGGGGACACCCCAAGGACTCTGGACCATTGGAGAGGTAAGAGGTGGATTGAAGCGCTTGCTCACCCGGTTCGTCCTTTGTTGGTGTGCCTGGGGCTGTGGTGGGGCTGAAGCCCATGTGTCCTTTGGCTAGGATGGCCTTTATTAACGTATGGCAAGGGGCTGGTCCTGGCTCTGATGTGTGAGCAGCCCCATGGCTGCTGTGTGAAGAAGGCAGATGCTGACAGGGGTTATTTAGGTTGTAGAGGGCCAGGTTTGGTTGAACAGCTTGGAAAATGAAGATGTCATGGACTGCACATGGGAGGCTTCTCCACAGAGAGCCTTCCTGCTTGAAAGCCCTTCTGGCAGTGTGGATCTGACTGGGGTAGCAGAGGTCCCATGGTGGCTGAACTACTCTGGAGCAGGTAAGTGTCACCCAGCCCTGCTTTGTGGTGGGAGGTGAGGTCCCACTTTGCACAGACAAACACAACTTCAAGCTCTGATCAGCTGAAAAGGGCTGCACCCCCTTAGGAGACCATCACCATCACCAGCCATGGTTAAGGGATTGCCCCACCTCTGAGACCTGTTGCACGTGGGCTTTGTATGGGGCTGTGATAACACAGTGCTGCTTGAGGGGAGGTTTGGGGTCATCTTCTCCAAGCTAGGGGGACCCAGGTGGAGCAGGGAAGGGGCATGTGGATGGGGCTGCCACATTTTGGGGATGCAGCCCCTGCGGAGCTGCTCTGGGGAAGCCGGTGCTTGAGGAATGAAAATGATGAATTAAAATTTAACAAGTCTCTAAATGCCAGGCAAGGACATCTTAAGTGGGAATTGTCACCGTTTGACTAGCGCAGCTTCCCACTTAGCTAAAACTGCATGGCTTTAATTACATTGATCTTGGAAAAGCAATAGCTTACACCAAAGAGCAGAAACGGCTGGCAACACAGCATGAAGTGTCACGAATTTTCCCTGTGTGGCTCCCCTGCCCTCTCCCCCCTGCACCAAGCTTCCCAGGGGTGTTTTACAGCCCCGTTCACCCTGGATCAGCAAAGTCCTGTCTCCTCTGAGTCACGGGAAAGGACAGAAGTGCTCCCTGTGTGCAGGGCTGAACACAGGCTCTGGTGTTAAAAGCTCAAGGTCAAGGGATCACATGGGTAGGCAGCACCTGATGGAGCCTCAGTGGGGAGCAGGCTGGGGTCCTGGATGTGCAGAGATGCTCTGCAGCAGCTAAACCCTGCTCTGGGCATTGCCCAGTGGTGGCATCCTTGGAGTGGCATGGGATAAGGACCCCTTTCCTTCCCATCCTCGGCACGGACTGGCTCACCCACGGGACTCCTCGCAGCTCTGCAAATAGAGCAGCTCGAGGAGGGTACGTTGCTAATAATACCAATTACTGTTACACGCTGGCTACAAGGTACACTGGCAGTAATGGGATCCGGGGGGATGAAATGAAAGCGATATAATATGGTGAGATAAATTAGCGTTGTAAAATTAGCCATGGCTCTAGTCAGGGATCTGACAAATGTGTCGCAGCTTCGGTACAAGCTCTGAGCGCCGCTGAATTGGATTTAGTGGCCCAGAGCAAAGCAGATGGGAGCAAGGGAAAAAAAAAAAAAGGAAGTTTATGAGGGGTCTCCGTACACACATGCTAGCGGTTAACACTGCTTGTTTCTTCTTCGGCTTTGCTGAATGATACGTCCCCTGGTGCCCACTCGTACGCGGCAGCAGAGGAATAAAAGTCCAGCCCCGCTGATGTGCTGTTGGAGCAGCTCGAGCCTGACAGAGGGAAAGGAAGGGACCAGCCTTGGTCCAGAGCCTCAGCTGCTGGTCCATGCCCAGCCGTGGGCTTCATCGCCCAGCTTTGCTCCCAAAGGGAGCATCGGTGGGGTTCGGGTGGTATGTGTAGCAGGTGTTTGCACATGCTTTAGCCTTGTAAGGAGGGGAGAAAGCTGGTTTTTGCTTCCCATGTTGCAATCTGACCTGTTTTGCTGTGCCCAGCTGGGCTCGGGGGCAGAAGGATGGCTGGAGCTGGGCATCCCACACCATGGGGGCTTTCCCTGTTCACCAAGGGTGTGCAGCCAACTCTTTTTTCCAGTCCAGATACACGCATTATCCTTCCCCTTCTGAGGCCGGGGGTGGAAGATAAGGAGATGCTTTTTGTGCCTCGTGGAGGTTGGGAAATGGATGTGGCTGGTTCCAGTGGGATCCGCTTCCTGGTGGCTCATTAGGACAGGCTCCGGCGGAGGGACGCGAGCGGTCCTGCCCGTGAGCGATGGATGGCCGGCGAGAGCCTCTTACGGATTTGTAAATGCAGGCTAATTGCATGTTTAATGGCTGACGCATTACACAGGATCTAGGGAGGGGCAGGCATGATTTAGGTCTGGTTTGATAAGGCATGTCATGCGGCTCGCTTAATAGTAATCAAAAAGGGGGAGAAAAATTCTGAATATGCTTTGTAGTGCTCTGTGGTGGAGCTGGGGGAAGGGAAGGGCTTGCGAGGGGGGGCCGTGCAGGGCCTCTCCAAGTCGTGCCACGATGAGGCAAGAGGTATGGTGAGGACCAGCTTGTCACATCCCTGGGGATGAGATTGCAGAGGGCAGGCTGCTGCCCTGTGTGCATCGGCAGCGGCACCAGGTTGAGCCATGAATCCCAAGGGGATCATCTCAGCGCTGCTTGGAGCATCCCAAGAGACTCGAGTGAACTTGTGTACTGAGCCCACATGGATGGAGACCTGAGGAGAGGAGCTCCAGCTTGTGGGAGGTCAGCCTGGCCACTGCCAGCAGCCCCTGCATCCTCTTGCTGCAACGAGGTGCGCTGGTGACACTTGTAGGGTATCTATCTCAGAGCACAGAGAGTCCCAGGGCTAAGTTGTCCTGGCAAAATCCACCAGGTGGTGAACTGCAGCAGTGAAGGGAGCCCAGTCCCTCATCCTTCGAAGGTCCTGTGGGACCATGGCAGGGAGCAGCAGGACAACGAGCCCGCGGTTGGAGCGCTAGTAGCGGCGTAAGTAGAAATACAACTTCTCACGTTCTTGTGCAGCAATGATATATCTTGTTTCTATTGACTTTCTTAAACCTCTAAAATACATTGTAGATTGATCTACAAATCTGCAAAAAGCACCTGTTTTTTTTTTTAAAGTCTAAAGCAATTTTCTGCCTGCTCCTTGTGGTTGGCTCTGAACAGACACATGTTCTCTTGTCCTATTTGAGGCTGGCGTGCTGCCACGGTGGTAGGAAGTTTAGTAATACTTGAGCTGGATCGATTCAAGCCCATTATCTGTGCTGCCTGGGACTCAGTGGCGAAGGGGAAAAAATACTCTCCCCAAACACATCAAAGCCCTGCGATAAGGACACACGGTTGAGCTCTATTTATAGATGGACAGATGTCTTGCCAAAGCTCTGCTGCTGTCACTTGGTTATGCAGTTTTTGAGTGCTTAGCAGTGTTTGCTTCTGAAGGAGGCTCTTCTACCTTCTGGCTGAGGTGCGTCCCCTCCAGGCAATGCAGTACTGCAATCTTCATCTTGTTCTTGCATCTTTGTAGACTCACAGGGACCCCAGAGGTCTCCAGAGCACAACTGCCACCAATGCTACTTCGGGTCAGTGTGCCTGTTTAGCTGCATGTTCACAGCTTAAGCCTGGACACCCCCATCTCCTGGGGTACCTGGCCCTCAGCTGCACCACACTCCCAGCAAAGAGGTTTTCCTACTGCTTTCCAAAGCAGCAAGCTGTGGTCACTGCCATGTTGTGTCTCATCTGTTTTGCTCCTTCATCAAATGCTATCAAGGACATTTTGAATGAGTACCAGCCATGCAAACTGCATGTTTGGAGTGGTTCCTTTGGCCAAGTCAGTGCAGGTCTTACAGTGTATGCGCACATAGTCTTCAGTGAGCATATGGATTTTGAGGGGATGGTAGGGTTGAAATGAGTTACCAACTCCAGATTCAGTTCCTGGCACAAAGGAATGTCTGTGCACATATGGTGGAGTTGTTCTTCACCTCCTTCCATTCGTTGCTCTGTCACAATAGTCATGAAAATGGGGATAGGAGAAGGGCAAAGGCTTCATTCTCTCCAGCTTTGAGTGCTGTTAAAGGTAATGTGCTGGTTCTCTCTTGGTTATGACTCTGGGAAGCGGTGCCCTGAGGTGACATTGCAGCCACAGTTTTTCACAGCAGGCTTCCAAAACCGTCCGGTTGGGAAGGGACCTCAGAGGTCTCAAGTCCAGCAGAAACTCTGCACTGAGCAAGAGTCTGAAACTGGACATGGCTGCTCAGGGCTTTAGCCAGCCAGCTCCTGAAAGCCCCTGCGTACAGAAAGAGCATAGGTTTTTTGGGCCACTGTTCTAGTGCTGGTGGGCTCTCGAGGGGGGGAAGGTTCCTCTGTGCATCCAGCGGGAACCTATTGTGTCAGCTACTGCCCACTGTCACTCATCCTCTTGCTATGTGTTGCTGCAAAGAGCCTGGCTCAGTCTTCTCAACAACTCCCCTGGCCATCTCAGAGGCCCCTGATGAATTTGCTCCTGTTAATCAACATATATCTTGTCCTGGGGCTCCCAAAACTAGAAGCAAGGTCTTGATGTGCTCTGAGTTGTGGGAGCTTCTGGGACCCATTTTGGCATGGGGTGGGTGTGCCTTTACCCAAGCCCTGCACCACACTGTGGCAACGGGCTGGAGATTTCACGAGAAGTGTGTTTTCTTACAGGCTTCAGTGGATTGTGGCTGAAGGAGAGAAGGAGTTGTCCGTGGGCAGCTTTGGGGACCAAAACTTAGTTTTCTTTTTGGGTTTTTTTGGGTTTTTTTGTTTTAACATGTCCTCTTCATCAGGTGCAGGGTAGATGGATGATGGCTTCTGGCTCCGTGCCATTCCCGAGCCCAGGAGAAAGGAGATTTCTGTTCCCAAGGGTGTTCATAATGTGTTCGTCTGCACGGCTCCTGCAGAGCACAGCGAGCATCCCTTGCTCTCCGCTTGGTTTTAGTCTGTCTCCAGGGTGCTGCTGAGCTTCGCTCATATATTCCTCTGACGAGTGGGCAAGACAGGAAGCAAATACCTTTGTTACAAAAC